GAAGATTATATTATTTCGAGATTTTTACAATAATTGTGTAACAAGGCAAAAGGGGGCAGTTGTAACGTGTTCTCGAACTTTAATTTTCATTTCAGAAACAATAAATATGCCTCGATATAGAAAAAGACACACCTCTAAGGGTCCAACAGATGACCAAATGAAAGCAGCTATGGTTTTCGTCAGTGATAATGGTTTAAGTGTCAGGGAAGCTGCTAGATCATTAAATATTTGCCATGTTACTCTGCATAGATATGCCAAAAAGATAAAACACGAAGGTATTGCTTCAACGATGGGTTATCATCCACATAATAAGGTGTTAAATGAAGAAGATGAAGCTGTATTTTGCGAATATATACGCAGAAGTGCGGATTTATATTTTGGTTGAACTCCTAGAGATATTCGATCACTGCTATACCAATTTGTTGTAAAGAAAAACTGCCGCAATATTCCTCCTAAATGGCATGAAACCAAAATAGGTTCCAAAGACTGGTTTACCAATTTTATGAAAAAAAATCCCACATTATCAATAAGAGCGCCTGAAGCAACAAGCAATGCCAGGGCAATTAACTTTAACAAAGGAAATGTGGACAAATTTTTTGATAATTTGTCAAATGTTATGGACAAACACCAGTTCGAATCTCAAAACATATATAATGTTAATGAAACTGGGGTAACAACTGTGCAAAGGCCAAAAAAGGTAGTTGCTATGAAAGGCTGCAAACAGGTTGGTTCTATAACATCAGGAGAGAGAGGAACGTTAATTACTGTTTGTATAGCCGTTAATGCACTGGGAAATTCAATTCAACCACTTTTCATTTTCCCAAGAAAGAAGTATAAATCTTTTTTTTTAATAGCGCCCCACCAGGATCTATTGCAGCAGCGAATGATAGTGGTTGGATGGATAATGAAACATTTTTATACTTCATTAAACATTTTTCTAAGTTTTCCAAACCTTCTAAAGATAATGAAGTTTTACTAGTTTTAGATAACCACCACTCTCATATTTATCTACCGACGATCGACTATTGCAGGGAAAACGGGATAGTGTTATTATCTTTCCCCCCGCATATTTCCCATAAACTTCAGCCATTAGATAGGAGCGTTTATGGGCCATTTAAGAGTTACCTAAATACTGCTATGGATGCTTGGTTGAAAAATCATCCTGGACAAATGATGACCATATACGATCTGCCAGGAATTGTAGCAAAATCACTGCCATTAGCCACAACACCTAACAATATTCAAAGCGGATTTAGAGGATGTGGTATATATCCATTCAACAGAAATGTTTTTGACGAATCCGAATTTGCTCCTTGTTCAGTAACTGATCGGCCTCTAAATAGTAACGTTTCAACCCAAGAAATGGAAGCAATAGCTTCAACTTCAACAGCTGATATGGTTCTCACAAAAAACATTTCAAAATCTGAACTGTGTAATATAGAATTGGCCATTTCCCAAGCAGGTGATAATCAGATCCTTGATAAACCGAACCTTGACCCGCACGTGGAAGCGTCCACTTCGAGGGATAGTCTGGCTCTTGATATGTCAGAAGTCGATGATGAACCCCTAGCTTCCACTTCAAAAGAAATTCAGGTGCTTAATACATCCAAGGATATATTGTTGGAAATTCGACCATATCCTAAAGCTAATTTTACCAAAAAAATCATTAAAGGTAGAAAAAAAACGCAAATCAGCTATTTTAACAGAAACGCCAGAAAAACAAGCTCTAGAAGAAGAATTGGCTGAAAGAAATGAATCTAAGGCAAGTACAGTAAAGAGCAACTTATCCGGAAAAAGAAACAAAGACAAAGCAAACAAAAAGCAAATGGAAACTTCATCCGAGGACGAAACTGACGCGTTTTGTCTCTACTGTCTGAAACCATACAGTCATGACAATGACGGAGAAGTTTGGATTAAATGCATAGATTGTAAATCATGTTGTCATGAAGAGTGTGCAGACAATGTAGATGATTTGTATTTTTATTGTTTAAATTGTAAAGATTAGTTGTTAGTTTAGTTGTATTGTTATCTAAATATCACCAAGTTTAGTTACTTTTTTACATACATTTAACCCACTGTTTTACCTGAATATATGTTTTTTTTGTATTCCTTATTGACATTTTCTATTGCGTTACAATTGTCCCTGAAGCTGTTACAACTGACCCCCTTATGGGTACAATTGTAACATTTGACACAAATACATAATAGACGTGTTAAATTCAAAAAGTGTTTGATTTCAGTTAAATACATATTTTAACCTTAATAAAGAATGCTTATTTTATCAGTAGAGCTTCGTTTGATCAAAATATAATATTCAATTTGCGAGCAAAATCGTACGTTGTCAAAATTGTTACAATTGACCCCACTCTCCCCTACTAATCTATGGCATTGAAAAGGAAATGAGATAACCTGGCTGTGGTCTGAATGCCATTTCCACATTGTTTTTTCTGAAGAAACCCGAAATTATCTCTGTTCTTTTTCCAAAATATGTTAGCGTTACACATTTCTTGATTTCTGGTTGTTTGACCTGAGGGTATATTAATCTGTAAGTGAATTTCCGGCTTTGTTTCCTGACTAACTTCTGGAAAGTATCTGCGTTGAAACCATTATCATGACCTATCTGTGTAATCAGATCAATTTCAATAGCTAGATTGTTAGCAGACAAAGTCAGTGAGAATGCTCTATGCAGGCTGCTAATTTATGACTGTCTGGATGGAAAGAATCGCTTGGGATTGTGATGTCTGTATAGCTAGGTTTTCCGAAAATATTGAACTCAAATTTATTCTGATTATGTGTAATGGTCAGGTCTGAAAAATTTATTTGTTTCTCTATCTCTGTTTCGAGTGTGAACTGAATGTTGCTATTGAGATTATTCATGAAGGTCACAGATTGGTTCAGCTGTCGTGTAGTACCTCTGAAACAGATGAGAATATCGTCTACATATCTCTACCAAAAATGAATATGTTCTTTGCCCAGGTCGGAATTTCCTATGGTGGTCTCCAACTTGTTCATAAATATGTCTGCTAAAAGTGGACTAAGGGGTGAGCCCATTGGTAAACCTGAATCCTATTTTTAACATTTGTTGTTGAACTGTAGGTGGCTTTGATTGAGGTACACATCGAAAGCTGTTGAAACTTCAAAGGAAGTGATATGGTCTACTTTGGCTTGATCTAATATATCTAAAATGAGGGGCTTACACTCGTTGTACGGTATGTTGGAAAACATACTCTTTACATCGAATGAAACTAAAATTAAATTATGTGGCGTGGTTTGGTTCCTTATGTTTTCTACTGAAGTCAGTGAATTTTTAATGCTGAAAGGTGGGACGGAATTGGTAATATTTTTGAACAACTTGTTAAGACGTATTCCTAGTTCTCTTACCGGACTATTTATATACGAAACTAACGGTCACACTCGAAACAGAGAGAGAAACAGATAGCTTTCTTAGACCTGCCATTACACATAATCAGAATAAATTTGAGTTCAATGTTTTCAGAAAACCTAGCTATACAGACATCACCATCCCAAGCGATTCTTTTCATCCAGACAGTCGTAAATTAGCAGCCTACAATTCAATGTTGCACAGAGCATTCTTACTGACCAGAAGTTAGTCAGGAAACAATGCCGGAAATTCACTTACAGATTAATATACCCTCAGGTCAAACAACCTGAAATCAAGAAATGGCTAACGCTAACATATTATGGAAAAAGAACCGAGATAATTGCGGGTTTCTTTAGAAAAAATTATGTAGATGTATTCTAACCACATGCCAGATTATCTCATTTCCTTTTCAATGCCAAAGATAAGGTGGATAATTTGGAGAAGTCTGGAGTTTATGAGCTTAAGTGTCCGGAGTGTGGCCTTTATGTGGGACAATGTGGCCGAAATTTCCAAAAACGGTATGCTGAACATGAAAGGTCCATCAGACTAGGAAAAAATGACGACGTTTCTTGGCATTAGACCACAAGTTTCCGAATCCAAACGATACGGAAATTCTGCACTATGCAAGGAAGGGTTGCAAACCCAATTATTTAGAATCCTTGAAAATTCACAAGCATAAACATTGCGGGTGCAACCTGTTAAATGATCAAATCGATTTAGTTTACTCGCCGGTTTTTAAATTGACAGATCCGCATTGTGAACTGTAAATTCAGGTACTCAATCAATCCAAGTACCTCTATTAGTACCTAGTGGGGTGGTATATAATTACAAATGTAATGAATCATTGTTAGATCATTGTATAAGTTAGATCATTGTATAAATGTCCGTATAGTTTGTATAAGTTTGAAAATGTCCGTATATAGGATGAAACTGCAGTCAAGTTAGTTACAAATAAAAGTGGTAAAACACATAGAACGTTTCATTTCTCTTTTCTTCATTATGATTTCCTACCACGTAGTAACGGCTCCGTCCATCAATTTATTGAAAGATGCAAGTACAGCTAGACAAGCCATGTACTACTTTAAATCCATCAATTTATTGAATAAAGATTACTATTATTTTTTAAACCTTCTTTGTATGAGCCCCGTAACACAAGTCAACTTATTATGCTATTAGAGTGATATCAAATGAACTAGGGAACACTACAGCTAGTATGGCTTACTTTGCATTGATCGAATCTAATATTCGCTATGATTACAGTTACAGAATACAATATTTGTGCTACAGAAGAGGTCTTTGAGATACCTTACAGAGCCTTAGCCGAGAGATCACTGCAAGCCTCTATTCATCAGCCAAAATATTCCATAATATTATCACAGTTTGAAGAAGGCTCATAAAAACAAACAGAACTTCTGAAACAACCTGAAATTCATTCATCTTTTGAATTTTACTCAATGTTCATACTTTTTGCTTTTGCTGCTGAATAAATTATCATTATTACATACATCGTCAAAATTCTTGGACCTCTCTCGTAAATTGTAAGACAAAATATAACGCCCTTATTGTTTCCTTCACACAAATTGTGAAGATAGTGACATATTATCATTCAAAGGTCTTCTCAACTTATTCGAGCATTTATTAACAAATTATGTTACATATGATCTTTGAAGTGTTCTAAACTTATATCACACACCCTATTTTATAGTTATAGCGGATGATAAACGAGTCCATATATTCTCAACACTGTGACAGTCAAAAATTGATGTCCCAATCAGAGAATTCATCTGGGGGAATATCGTCGTCTTTAGCAAAAGTGTCAAAGTTGGAGGTGTCACAGGGACCCCTCACCACCTGCTGTATTGGAGCTGGCAATGTTCTAGCTATTAATCCATCCCAGTCGAAGCCTTGGTACCACCTGAAATATAACAGCAAATGAATTTGATGGAAGGAAATGAGCATATTTCATTGGTCCACCGATAATTAATTACAACAATCTGTTGGTATTATATAGATAAAGAGGGATTTCTTCGAACAACATCAGCGACAAAAGTGGAAAGACACATTACGAGAAGAAGATGAACATTTTCTCTATTTGACAACAAAAACAAAAATCTGTTTCACCGTGTTTCGCAGGAGGATTTTGTTTTTGTTTGAACGACAAAACTGAGTTGAACCTCAAAACGATGAACAACCACAGTGCGTCACGTATTTCTGACATGTACCGCTCTCGGTGGAATGAAATGTGCCAAGTCACTTAAACACTTCTCGTGGAAGTATCAATAGGAGAGAGACAAATCTCCAACTTTTCTTCGATATTCCAGACTGTTAAGGTTGCAAGTGATGTCCGCGTCTTCAATCAGGCGGATGGCTTTTTTCTGGATGAAATCCAGCAGCTTCAGGGTATGTTTAGGGGCGAAGCTCCATACAAGAGAACAATACTCCAAAGAAGGTCTGATCTGAGCTTTATAAGCATAAAAAATTGCTGAGGTGTCTACAGTTTTCTGGTTCGGAACAGTGGTCGAAGCTTTTGAGAAGCAGCCTTTGCAATTCCAGCGACATGATTGTGCCAAGACATACTGCTATCCATTTAAAGCTCCAACAAACTCATAGAAGCAAAAAGCGGAATTGTCAGACCTGACATTATTATCTAGTTCGAAAACATTTATCTTTTTGGAGATAACCGATGATTGGGTTTTTGTGGCATTGAATAGAACCTGGTTAATTTCACCCCAATTCGAAATTACTTCTAGATCCTCATTAAGATATTCAACTTCCTGCTGCCGGTGAAGATATGCTTCCGCAGCCGATGTCCTGGAATCCAAATGTGATGACGAGACAAGGGTGCTGTCGTCAGCAAAGCAAGAAAAATCTGAAATGTTTTTTGGCTGGGTCGGGAGTACACCAAGGAACCAACCTAGGCCCATTGCTCTTTTTAATTTCCATAAATGACCTCCCGGAAAAAATGTCATCGGACTGTTTGCTATATGCTGACGATTTCAAAATGTTTAGAAACTTTACAGGCCTAAATGACTATTTAGAACTCCAAAACGACATAGATAAAATATCTAATTGTTCCAGGGATAATAAATTACCTTTTAACATTTCTAAATGCAAAGTTATGACGTTCAGTCGAAATAAGATTCCACATCACTTTGTATATATAATGCAGAATACAGTTTTAGAAAGAGTTCAAGAAATACGTGACCTCGAGGCGCTTTTCCAAAGTGACCTGAAATTCAACCGGCATATTCAAAATATTACTAATGAAGCTAATAAAAGACTAGGTTTTTTAAAACGTACCACTTACGAATTCAAAAACATAAACAGTAAAAAATATTCGTTTAATACAATTATTCGAAGTAAACTAGAATATGCAAGTATTATATGGGAATCAAACCAAAAAAAAGCAAAGCAGATTCTAGAAACAATTCAGAATAAATGTTTGGAATATTTGTATTTTAAAAAATACCAAAAAATACCAATACCAATAACCAAATAGTTAAGGGCCAATTTCTGCCCTTAACTATAATTTTTAGACTAGGATAGTCACAAAGTGCGTGACCTAAGCAAACTTATGCTTTTTTTGCATTCCAATTATTATTGTGTATTGTGACACTTAACCACATCTAGTGGCGAGTAGTGGTACTATGTACTATCTTTTTCAGCTACCCGTTAGGTGGCATTAGGCGTAATTAAATATTTTGAATTACCGCGTTGGTTCGAGAAAGTTCTGGTTTTAGCTAGTGTATTCCGATTACCTCGAGATGGCAGTAATAATTGCATATAAAAAGGCCAGCGGCGCAACTGCGAGTTAGTCTGCGTAGGAAAAGCGAAGGAAGCGGAACTGTCTACTGTGTCTATTGTCTATTATGAAGTAACATTGTTTTTATGTGTGATTTGTTAGTATGGAAAAGAAGCGAAAAATCGACAGTGAACATTTCTAAATGCAAAGTTATGACGTTCAGCCGAAATAAGATTCCACATCACTTTGTATATATAATGCAGAATACAGTTTCAGAAAGAGTTCAAGAAATACGTGACCTCGAGGCCCTTTTCCAAAGTGACCTGAAATTCAACCGGCATGTTCAAAATAATACTAATGAAGCTAATAAAAGACTAGGTTTTTTAAAACGTACCACTTACGAATTCAAAAACATAAACAGTAAAAACTATTTGTTTAATACAATTATTTGAAGTAAATAAATGAATTTGAATATGCAAGTATTATATGGGAATCAAACCAAAAAAAGCAAAGCAGATCCTAGAAACAATTCAAAATAAATGTTTGGAATATTTGTATTTTAAAAAATACGGACATTCGCCAGGTTTCATATCGTATGGACCGATCAGAGATGAATTTTACATAGAATTACTGGAAAACAGAAGAGCTATAAAGAGTATACTTTTCTTAGGAAACATTTTGAATGGCCATGTAGATAGCATTTTTCTCACCCTGTCAAATCTGATTTTATGTTTCGCTGCCAGGTATACGTCCGCGACAAACTACTTTTCATGTCAATTAATATAAATCCCCCATTGACAGAATTTGCTCAGTGTATAATAAATACGCAAATATCATTAGGTTTGGTATCTTCGAGGTATCATATTCAAAACTCAAATCTAAAATAGTCTTTTAGTCTTTTTGTTGTTTCAAAACAGTACTTGTAGATGATAAGAAACATATAACTAGGCTCCGCCTGTTTGTTTCGAAATAAATGAATATACAATAGAAAGAGGGTTGGAGACAGTATGGATCTTTGGGGAACACCAGCAAAGATAGTGAAAGTGTTCGACAGATATCCATCGACAGCCACTTGCAGGAAATGTTCTTTCAGAAAGCTGGAGAGCCATATACAAGAATGATCCAACAAGCTAAACCTAGCATCGAAGTTTGGCCAACAAACCCTCATACCACACACGCTCAAAGGCTCTTGACTCTCCATGTTCCTCGATTGCGTTATTCCAAATATGGATGACATAGATAGAGGGTAGCTTGTTGATCTTTGTTTCTGAAAGCCATATGCCATATTCATGATCACTCAAGATGTTGAAGCCTTCCAAATATTTTTGTTTCCAGGAAACAACATGTAGATAATGCAGATGAAATATTTTTGAGCAACAGAAAATTGTTTTATTCCACCAACAATAACTCGATTGTACTTACTTGTGCTTTTTTATGTCTTGAGTTCCTCCTCTCTGACATCCCAGCCTCTCCGAAGGACAATCTCTACATAATTTCTTGATTAGGCTTTGGGCAGTCCGTCCAACGTTATTTTTGGCAAAATCGATCATGTCGATACCCTTCAATATCACAGTGTACGTTTTCATTGGATCTGGAGCAGTGAATGGAGGACTGAAACATAAGAGACACATAACAACAAGCAGTGCAGCAGAAATTTCAATTTTCGAGGATGTTCAAAATATGACCTTTGTCATTTTGTTAAGTTCTATGAATAGTGACAAAGGTTTTCAATAGATTTATAAAAAAAAGTAAGTATACAGGTCCACACCAACCTGATGAATACCCGAAAGCTTAGAAAGAATATAACAGGAAGCCCAAAACGACTTTCGACTAGTGTCCGACCAAAAGTTCGGTATCGGTAGAGTTTCGGCAAAAAAACGGGTTTCGGTTTCGGCGGCAAACCTGCTGAAACTACGACCGAAACCGAAACTGCATTCGGGAGTTATCGCGATGTGACCGGCATGTTAAGCGCCTTGAATTTCATACAAGCGACGAAGACATTTTGCCCCGTCAACGTGCCTAATCAAGTCGTGACTTACTTTGTGATGTGTTTATTGCATAAATATTAAGTACCTGTTGAGATATCAGGTAACAACTTGAAAAAGTAATTTTATGTTCAATATTTTTGAAAAACCATCAATAATATTCAAAAGAAGGATCTACACCTACTCAAATGAACACCTCACCTATTTTAAGTATTTTTAAGGAGCAATTAATATTTTTTCTTAAATAAGAGGTTGTTATGTTGATTTGTTGATTATCAATGATTAAAAATGACGAAGACTGCATAACGTTGTTATTCAAAGATAAAAAAATAAAGACTTACTGATTGTAATAACTTTTTCATTATGTTTCCCTCAAAACATAATCCTTGTAAGGAAGTTTCGGTTTCGGCCGAAACTGAGACCGTTGCCGGAATTCGGTTTCGGTTTCGGTCGTAAAAACCAGTTTCGGTCGGACACTATCTTTCTTATTTCGACAACTCATTTCACTAATACTCACTGTCCAGTCAAGAGCTCATGCATCAAAATTCCAAGAGCCCAAAAGTCCACCGACCTATCGTGCCCTTTATTCAAAATCGTTTCTGGTGCGACATATTCCGGTGTACCGCAAAACGTCCACGTTTTGCTACTGTAGCCGAGTCTCTTGGAGAAGCCGAAGTCCACGAGCTTCACGTATCCCTGAGCGTCCAACAACAGGTTCTCCGGCTTCAGATCTCTGTAAATGATCCCCCTGGAATGCAAGTAGTCGAAGGCTTCGATAACACACCCTGTTATGAACCTTGTCGTGTGATCGTCGAAGCAACCCCTGTCTCTGAGGATGGTCCAAACCTCTCCACCGAGGCAGGCCTCGAGGAGCATGTACACGTATTTGGAGTCGCGGTATGTTCTGTATAACCTGAAAATATTCATACGTATGTTACTTTCACTTCAGCAAATACAAAATTTTAGATTTACCTTTATTGAAAATGAAAAAATTTAAATTGTTTTCAAATTTCAAAATGAAGGTGTATTTTTAGATAGCTCAGTGAATTTTAATGAACATTTCACAGAAAAAAATAGGATAAGACCTAACAAATGAAAAAAAATCATTTAGATCTTCTAAAGGACCTCATTTTCAATACCGTTCAACAATTTTATTCTCACTGAATGAAAATGTCAAGTATTGAAAGGTCTACCTTGGAACAAAATTTGAAATGTTTATTAGAGTTTCAGGGCATACTACGATATTTTTTCTTAGTCGAAAATCGGGATTTTTTATTAGAGATTTTTTTATTGAAAAAATCACTACGCCACTGGATTCAGAGTTCCTCTGAATAGGTGTGACCAAAATTTCATAGAGATAGAAATGAACTTTGTGCAAGAATTCGACAGGTATCTGCAGATATTAGCCCTCAAGAACTAAGGAACGTAATCAGAAACATTCGTGAGCGCATCGAAATACGTGGTGGATTAGTAGAGGCTACTAGGATATGAGTTAGAATTAATTGTTGTGCTGAATCGAAACATTTCAATAATTAGTTATTAGTTATGTTTATTAAAATTTTTTGCTTCATTGTTAGTTGAATTGTTTGAATGTAATTCCGTTATTCTCATTAAAAATATTTACGCTATTTGTTTTTTTTCCATCTGACGGCACTTTATTGTTGAAATCATAAAAAAATGATATATTGTGACTGTTAGCTGTGTGAGTTTTCGAATTTTTGAGTTGTCATAACTTTGTTAATAATGAATATTCTTTCATGAAATTTTGGTCATACCTGTTTAGAGGCACTCTGAATCCAGTGGCGTTATGATTTTTTTAAATCGCTAATGAAAAATCCCGATTTTCGACTAAGAAAAAATATCGTAGTATGCCCTGAAACTTTAATAAACATTTCAAATTTTGTCCCAAGGTAGACCTTTCAGTACTTGACATTTAGAAAAAAATTATCAAAATCGATTTACAACTCAAAATTTTAGGGGGGTGTTTCCATTAAAAATAGGTCACACTGTTAGTTACCTGTACGGAGAGTCTTAGCTTGTGAATTGAATCCACAATAATAGAAACAATATTTTGTGACTTGTAACAAACTTCCTCAAAATCTATCAATCAAATCAATACTCATGGAAAAATCATTTCCTACTTCTACTTCAACTCTTAAACACCCCTTCTTTAATGATTTATGATAACAAACCTGCAAATAAACGGACTTCTGCAATTCATCATGATATCTCGTTCACTGTAAATATGATCCTGTTGCTGGGTATCGACGATGTGTTGCTTTTTCAAACATTTCAAAGCGAAAGTCAACGATGGATCTTTGTTATACTGGACCAACTCCACTCTACCAAATCCTCCTAGTCCCAAAGTAGCTAGGACATCCAAATCATCCAGTTCAATGAAGTCATATTCTGAACAATAAAAGAGCCTGATAATCAACTCTGTATAACTTGTATACAGGGTGATTCAAAAGTACTTTGACGAACTTCAGGAGGTGATTCCTCACAATATTCTAATATGAATTGTCCAAATAAATGAATATCCGGAAACACTTCGTTTCCAAGATACAGGATGTTGAAGTTTTCTTTTTATTTTCGTTTTTTTCAAATAACTTTTGAAACACTGAACTTAATTAAACGAAACTTGGTAATAGGAGGTTTTTGAGGTGTTGAATTCGAACCTGATGTTCTTATTGCTCTTACTCGTAGGGGGCGCCGCCTACACGTCTTTTTCTTTTTTAAAGATTCATAACTTTTTTGGGCGTACTCCTAGCANATTTCCAAAGCATTCTTGTGAAAAAAGCAAAATATTCATAATAACTTCAACATGCATCGATTATCAAATAATCGACTTGAAGTTTTCAAGTCCAAATATTTAGAAAACGGTTGCTTACAGCGACTAGTAACAAGGGTAGCTTATTCACGTAGATATGATAGAGAAATCGATTTTTTTACTGAAAAATGTGCTAGAAGTACGCCCAAAAAGTTATGAATCTGCAAAAAAGAAAAAGACGTGTAGGTGGCGCCTCCTACGAGTAAGAGCAATAAGAACATCAAGTTCGAATTCTACACCTCAGAAACCTCCTATTACCAAGTTTGGTTTAATTAAGTTCAGTATTTCAAAAGTTATTTGAAAAAAACGAAAATAAAAATAAAACTTCAACATCCTGTATCTTGGAAACGAAGCGTTTCCGGACATTTATTTATTTGGACAATTCATATTAGAATATTGTGAGGAATCACCTCCTGAAGTTTGTCAAAGTACTTTTGAATCACCCTGTATTTACGAACCAACCTTGTTGTTCCAGAGACGCGGAAGCCCTGTTCAATCTCTCCTCATCGCCGTAGTCTTTTTCTCGTATCTCACTAATATCTCCTATCAGCTGCTTGAAGGATTCTCTGTCTAGGGTCAGACATTCCACTCCGGGCTGCATGGCGATCACAGATGCAGTCCTGCAGTCTTCCTTTAAAAGTGCTTGCTCACCAAAATAGTCTCCTCGTTGGAGAACTCTGATTTCCTCTTCTTCCATGCGCCCTGAAAATGAAAAATTTGTTATAGGTGTTACTGAGTCTCTGTAAAAATGATGCTGTTCAAAAATTATTCATGTGTGAAACAAAAATATAAGATGTAGATCAAAAGCCCCAACATGTTCACATCAACACAATTCAAGTTGATAAGTGATTGTCTTTTATTATATTCGTGGACAAGTCAATGTTCATTACTTTTTTTGAGTGTATGAATTTCCACGATCTGAAAAATAAACGAAGCTGAATCTTTATATAGACTGTTGTGAGACAGGGGGGAGGAAAGGAGCAAACTGAAAAGTTCATTAATAAAAGTTACTGCGTACTGAAGATCCCCATATCAATGACTTTTTGGAAAAAAACAAGAACATCAGTTGAATGATCAATTTCTATACTCACCTTCGTTTACATTATTGTATAGTTTTGAAAAAAGTATAAAATCTCCTTCAAAATTCCAATGAAGATAAATGAGAAATTTATTGAAAACTAACCTGGAGGTCTTTGAGTCACTTTGACAGATCCGCTGCTCATTATGAAGAATGTGTCTCCACTTGCTCCTTGTCTGATGATGTAGGCACCAGCGGGGTAGAATTCCTGAAAAAATCAAAGAAAGTAAATGGAAAATTGTGGTAGAAGATGAAGAGATATTCAGCGAGAAATGTGCTGGAAAAATTATCTTTCACCTGTGCATTATATAAACACTTGTTTAAAATTTAATCAATAATTTTATACTGGGTGGATCAACAAGATTCCCTCGATCTAGTGCTCTTGAGAGAAACAATTTTCCGAATATTCGATCTTTGCATAGTTACCAACAGCGGCGGCTCATCAGAGGAGGCAAGGGAGGCTTAGCCTCCCCATACAATTTGAGGCTATTCATCGCAATAAATTTAAAGATATTGACAAATAATTATGCTTATTTTTTTCTACAAATGCATGGGTATCATTCCTTTATCATTAATTCACTCACTATGTAGTACAAACCACTCTGTATCCTGCATCAACAAACCTCAAACGCACCGCCCATGAACGAATAACGAATAAACCATCAACCCGAAATAAGAAATGCCATACGTTGCAAGGGAGCCAAGCCTCCGACCGTTTTGAAAAACACAAGCTCCGCGTGACCGATCCTGTCAGAGACATACGTCCCAATTTGTAATGTTAGTTGCAGAAAGTATAGCGTTAGAGGAGGCTAGCCTCCAGTTGGTCTCCGTTAGTGTCCGACTGCGTTTGTTTTTTATTTAATTATTCGTACGGACGGACCGGGACTGAAAAATATTTCGGTTAATCGTTTTAGTGTTTCTTGATAATATTTGTTATTTTTGTTATATTAGAAGAGAAAAGTATTATTTATTGACCGAGAAGAGTTCATTTATATTAAATAACTCAAATACAACCTTTCTCCTTGTTTTTGTTTTTTAATCGTCAGTTTTATACGTATAATTTACGGCAGTACACAATTTTTGTTTGCATTTATGCAAATATTACGTATTTTGAATTTCAAACATTACGTATTTTGGTTTAAATAGGTGCGGTACCCCAAAAAATTTTCGCGCTTCCGGCGGGCTTTTCTGTGTGTATATAGTCTTTATGACTTTGGCCTCCCCTGTTCTTCAATGCACGAGCCGTCACTGGTTACCAAATAGAACTATCTTCTATAATTGTTTTTTCACTCATTAGGTGATTCATGTGAGCATAGCGAAATACACTTATATTTTTTCAACAGAACACCCAATATAAAAGTATACCTACCATTCATTTCCATATTTTTTTAAAATTTTCCTAAGGCAACTTTTTGTTGCGGCGTTGCCGATTTGTTAAAAAAATTCTCTCATTTATTGGTCTGAAGAATGGAATTGATTGCTCAAGTTCACTTGAAATTATGACAGGGGCATACGGTGATTGTACCCTGAGGCAGAAAAATGTTTACAAGTGGTACAATTTTCACAGAAGGTCGAGAAGATGTAAATGACGACGCCCAGCACATCAACAACCAATGAAAATGTTGAGAAAGTGAAGAAAATTGTTATGGAGAATCGTCGAATCACTATTATTGAAGCTGCTGAACATGACGGGATATCGTTTGGCAGCGAAGTTCGTTCCAAAACTGATGAATTTTGACTCGGAAATTGTTGAATCAAATAAACGGTGGTCCAAATTAGCTTAAAAGGGTCATAACTGGTGACGAATAATATATTTATTGTTATGCCATCGATAACAAAGTCTGATAGTCCCAATGGAAGAACCCAGCAGAGCCAAGACCAAAAAAAGCAGTTTTAGCTCCAATTCTGCACCTATTATACAAACAAAATATTTGTCAAATCGAATTAACATGTAAATATACAATATATGCAGACGATACAGTACTTTGCAAATGAAAACCCAACTATTTTAGAAAATACAATTAATGATGATCTGAAACTTTTTGAAAAATGGCCTAACCCAAATTTTCTTTCCATTAACTCAAATAAAACTGAATTTATTACGTTTCATCAAGAAAGTGAGCAAGATATTCCAATAAATATTTCTATAAAGAATACACAAATAAAACAACCTATGCAAATGAAGTACCTTGGCGTTCATGTTGACACTAAATTGAAATGGGATATACATATTGACAAACTTATTAAAAAAATGTCTGCCGTTGTTGGACCACTACGCAGATGTCTAAAATTGAAACCAGAAATAGCGAAAAATTTTTAGACTTACAAATTCTTAGCCGGATCAAATATTTATTAAATATATGGGGATCATGTTGTAAAAATATCTTCAATAAAATTTTCATTGTTTATAAGAAAGCATTAAAAGTACTGTATCGTTTTTCATATGAAATTCCAACTAACTAATTGTATTCAATAACAAACACATTTTCTTTAGTAGAACATTTCATAATAGACAGAATTATAATTGCCTATTTAGTTATCAATAAAAAAATTAAATCCAACCTCATATTAATAAAAACTTTAGAAATTCATGATCATGATACAAGGCAACATAATTTGTTTTATTTCGATGCTGCAAGCTCTATAATGTACAAAAAAAGATTTGATCATGATTCTCTTTCTGCTTTAAATAAATTGCCTGATCACATAAAAAACTGTGAAAATATCGTAAAATTCAGGAAAGAAACTAGGATAAATAACACATATTCTGTTTGTGAAAAACCAATTTCATTTCTTTGTTCACTGATCTCTCAGTTCAAATGTTATTATAATTTTCATTTAGATTTTACTTGTAATTCTGTAATAGTGTTGATTGAATTGATTAAATTTATTGATAAACTATTCGAAAACGAACGAAACTTAAATGATTTCATCGAGCATATATCGTTTCCATAATTTGAAATGGAGCAATGATTACAGTGATCCTGACTAACCAGTCCTAAATATATGTCACCAAGTTTCTATACAGGGAGCGATTTTTCAAAGTCTACAAAATAGGTTGTTTGGAATAACTTGGCAACGCCGCAACATAAATTCAACTTATAAAAACCTTCAGAAAGCTTGAAGAATATGAAATCGAACGATGAAACTGTACCTATACTGGGTGTTTTATAAAAATATATGGTGGAAGTTGAATGGTCATCAAATGACAATGTTTGCTTAACTTTAAGATTTGAAAGATAATGGTTTTATGGTCAACAAGTTGTTATTTGGTGTTTAAGTAAGGTAGATAACAGTATAATGATCTCTATCCACACCTGTGAACTCTCACGTCACGATTTCAGGCAACATCACCCTTATGAATATGAATAATGACCCAAAGTAATTTGAAACAATCATTTTTATTCTCATTATCAATCGTGGAATGGTCTCTGGAGGATTGCCATTTATTATTGAATGAAAAAACTTACTACTTCCAAGACATCAGCAATCTTAGCCAATACATCGTTGTTGAGATTCTGTAAAAGTGGTACGGACTTCAGGAAGTTAATATTGTCTTGCAGTCTTTGTAAACCAGTTCGCATCATTATCTGCTGGAACACTTTTCTGTCTAGTATCCATACTTTGACGTCAGTAACGGCTGAAATCAAAATTCACGTGTGAGTGTCGAAAAAATTCATATTAGGGAAGTGGGAACCTAGCTTTGAAGTTTTATCTATCACATTAGAAACTTTCAGTGTATTTGGGCCTTTTTCTGTAAATTTTGTTAATAAATTCGGCAGAAGGATGACTGAAGAAACTAAAGAAAAAAGATATACCACCTTTCTGATCCAAAAATTTAGTTTAGCTATACAGCGTGGTAATTCAGTTTCTGTTTTTAGCACCGTCACATTCACTGGATGGAATTTTTCTTCCTCCCGTTGTTTCCAAATCATATTTATACCCTAGTCACGATGGGAGATTATTCCTCATAAAACCTCTCCCATATTCCTTGTGATACTTCCCATAATTTCCCATCAGAAGATATAGAATTGAAAACGCCTGCCATATCTGATTCAGTTTTAGACAGTTTAGCTTCGAATTCCTTATCCTACCGATCCAATGAAGGGGTGAATCATCGATTCCGTGATTATTCACAAGAAGACACCAGTGGCGAACGTAGTATCAACAGTTACAACATTAGATCAGTATGAAAGGTGCTTTAATCAAAGAGTTCGCAGAAGTTATCAAGGAATTGTGATCAGAAGTTTCATCTGATAGAGTTATCAACACTGCCTACTTTAAAAGTCGGATTCAAAGATTTGCCCCTCGATGCATGGGATCTTACCATCAAGACGACCAGGAATTCCTTCGATATCTTTTAGAAGGTTTACATGAGGACCTCAATGGAATTACTGAGAAACCTAAACCGATCTTAACGGAGATTGACGAAGAATTGAGCGACAGCGGAAAAGCGCTAGAGTCCTGGCTGAGATATTTGAACATGAACAACTCTAAGATTGTAGACAATTTCGTTGGTCAATTAAAATCTACTATGAAGTGCACATACTGTGGATTTTCACGGTCCTTTCTTGGATTTGTCTCTCCCTAAACCACAAGGAACTGGCCAATTGAGTTTGTCACAATGCTTGGATTTCTTTACAAGAGAGGAAACCGTGGATGAAGATGAGAAACCAATCTGTTGGTGCAAAGAAAGAGGGAAATGCATTTAAGTGATTAATTTAAAAATATTTTCTTCGAAGGAAAGATTCGGAAGCAAATTGAATTTTGCCATTCAGTTTTCTTCAGAAGGATTAGATATGAGGAATTATGCAGCAGACAATGTGGCTCCTTGTCGTAACAATCTATATGCACTTTCGAATCACAGTGGGACTACTTACAACGGGCGTTACACATCATATTGCAGACACCCTTATAGTGGCACGTGACATGAATACAACGATTCACACGTGTCCCCAATATCACCAAAATCGCTTGTGAGTGAGGAGGAATATGCCCTCTTTTATGAACAGGAGGACACAAAGCAGCACTCTTTCAATTGACTAAACTCTGTTAATTGATTCGGTTTGTTAAGTTAAATTCTATACAGATCGGTAAGTTCCAGCGATTTATGTTTATAAGACTTTTGAAACCAAAGTAAAATTCTAGCGAAAATATTCGCTGTAATTTCATCAAGTACATTACCTCTTATGGAAGCAGTTCTGGTACAATTGTACAAGATAGCCAGCTCGCCAAATGCCTTCTTGGGTCCCATATGTCCCAGCACTTTTCCATCCTTGATGACCTCGAAGTCACCTTCTGCAGAAACGAATAGAGCTCCTCCCGCCTCCCCTTCTGTGATGACCAGTGACCCCGCGTTGAATTCCTTGGGGTACATCGAATCCACCATTTCTCGCACCTGGCTCGTATCCAAATTTTTGAGAAAGTCATTGTCCATTATGGCACCTTTGATTAATTGTTTGGACCTATAAATCAAGATTGGAATGAAAACGATAATAGACTGAGAACTGTTAGACAAATGTTATGTTCTTAGAAAAGGAGGTTCACTTTTGTGGGAGATCTGATGCTACTTTCCCGGCTAATACCACGCCGGACATTAACTTATATCCAACAGACATTTACGGAAGAAACTTCACAGACGTTAGTATCACAGATTTCTCCCGTTAATCCAGCAGCAGGACTATGGTAAAATTATTTGAGTAGATCACCTACAGACCGCTTTCGAAGTATTACCTCCCATCCAATCCCAACCGCAAAGTACTTGGGACTCGATTAATTTGAAAGCGGCTCAATTGAATGTTTTAAACTTTCGTCTGAGAGAAAGATTATTACCTAATAACGGCTCCATCTCGTTAACAAAGCCCCAATCGGGAAATAAATATCCCATGTACCAATACTCTTACAGATTTCAAACCATTCGAACGATCTTGTTTTTTCATCAGTCCTATTTTGCTCAGGTATTCTCTGAATGAGCAGTATAAATACGTGACAGTATGGTTTGTACCGGTTGAATGCTTGTCTTATTCTCAAAAACATGATTGAGATGAATTATCTGTCTCTTTGCTGCATTGCCAAATGTCTTCAAAATAGAGCACCAGTGAGAAATTCTCTGAGTATTGAGCATCCCTATGATTATTTTGAGCCGATTCCTGCTTATGGAAGCAGTTTTTCACATCTTTCATCGAACTGTCCTTTCAAAGAAGTTTTCTTTTGTGTGTTCACAAGTATTTTTTCAGTATTGTTTTTATTTTCTCTCGAGCAGATTCTGCCAAGCAAGCATGTTCTCTGGAAAACTGTTCTTCATCCACTCTTTACGGCTTGTGTTTAAGCAGGTGAATAGCAGGGTCATACTGATTGATAGATTTCATTGAAGTTTTCGAATTGAACATATGAAAACTTAAGTCAGTAAGGTATAAATATATAACTAAAATACAACAAAACATAACAAAATATTATCACAGGTTTATACATTCATGGGAGTACATTTTACTATAACTAAATATTGAAAAAAAAGAGAAAAAAAAAGATAAGTGTCACAGATATAAACGCATTTGTCTAAAATATATAGATATCAAAATATAATGAAAATATACTCTCGCATATATCATGTCTATATTTGTTTAGGATTATGAAAATTTTGATGGCTAATACTAATATCTATCCTTTTTCTGTTTTCTGGAATTGTCATGAAGTTGCCATAAAAAAATCTTGCATCGAATAGGATTCCATGTTACATAACAAATCGAAAACTAAAATTTTGAAAGTATGTCGTCTGTCTTCTTCTCTGATTGTCAGTGGTAAATGATTGTATAGTTTGATGGCCATATAGGGTGGACCTCTTTCTATATTTCTTAGTCTATGTTTAGGAAGAACGAGGTTCAAATTGTTCCTAGTATAGTACTCGTGAATGTTTTTATGAATAATGAATTTTTCTTTGTTGTCATAAACGAAAATAACACAAACATAAATATAGATCCCATATAAAGTAAGTAATTTATTACTTTTAAAAATTCCGCGACAGGAGTCTGTGAAGTTCATGTTAAGCATATTCGTTATTATAAATTTTTGCATAATGAAAATGCGTTCTGTTAGTGCTTCCACCCCAGAACATAACTCCGTGTTTGACGAAAGGATGTACGGTTTCATAGTATGCTGTTTTTAGTGCAACAGTATTCAAGTGACTTCTCAAAATTCTAATTGCATAACATTTGCTAGCCAGTTGCAATGCAGTTGCAGTTTGCAAGATGCTCAATATGTATGTCAAAGTTTAATTTGTCATCTAGATAGACCCCTAAAATGTTTGTACATGATGAAAAATTCAACCTTTCAGGGCCCATGTTCACATACTTTGGAATAATGATGGAAGTATTAACTGTTCTGAAAACTATACAATTAGTTTTGGCTGTATTCAAAAAAAGTTTATTTTGAATGAAATATGTTGAGGATGCAGAAACAACATTCAATACATCACTTTTCAAATTCATATGGCAGTCAAGAAGTATAAAATTGGAAGCATCAGCATAACTGACAAGTTTGGTGCTAGTATTTTTAAAAATTTCCAAAAAATCGTTTATATAAATGATAAACAACAAAGGACCTAGCACAATTCTTTGTGGAACACCTTTATGAATATCAGCTATGTCAGAGTAAAAAACTTCTGTTTGATATTTAATGCAAACTTTTTGTTTTCTGGTGCTAAAATACGATATCATGAGATCTAAAGCATTACTCCTGATACCATGGTGACACAACTTTTGTAATGAAACAGAATGGTCCACACAGTCAAAGGCATTACTCAAGTCCAGAAAAACACCACAAGCCATTGAGTCTTGTTTCAGTAAAGAATGAATTTCATCTATGAAATCAAACAATGCTGTTTCTGTATTTGAATTATTATACAGAGAGCTTGAACATCAACAATTGATGACGAGCCGGATCAATCAGGTTCAAAAGCAGTCAGTTTGAGCATCGCAGCAAAGTGTCACTTCGACCGTTGCCGCATAGACCTTCAGCATTAAATATCGCAGAATGGACATAACCTAGAAGTATGAATTTCCATTTCCTTGGACAAAAAAAGCAGAGGCCCAAGAACCAAATCCTGTAGTTCACCTAATTTCACAGTTATCTCATACTTTATCGAAATAATGTTTGAACAACTTTCGGAAATCGGATATCTACAGACCGATTTTTACAAACACCTGCTCTTGATTTTCACATTGCCCAATTTGTACGAATTCTGCATTAGTTGGTGAGTTCGCTGTTAAATATGTTGTTGTAGTAGTTAGAAATCAATAGCTTCAGAGAAAGCTACGCTTTCTCTTAAATATCTTACCTGAAATCCTTTTCATATTTCGTTATAGAAATGTTGTTGGCTTCTCCCGTGGCCTCGCTGGACTCTGCAGATACACCTTGCTTCTTGGAGGAACTGCTATTATTTGACTGCTGACTTTGAGGGGCCCTATTCGCCATAGCATGCTGTTTCTGGATACTAGATAATAGTTCCACATCTCTACTGGCATTTGTTTGCTGGAGAACGCTCTGGAAATAAAAAAATATTATAGAGTTTCGAGAGGTAGATAGGTTAAGTACTACTGAGAGGAAAATTCATTAATTACCAACTACTACCTGGTTTAACATTCAAATTTAGGACTATGTTATTGAGGAGTTCTGATTTACTTTAACTAGTCACTATACTTGAATTTTTGGCAAGTGAGTTTGACACGAATAGACATCAGGGTGTTTCAGAAGTTCAACTTCGTCAGCATGAAAATTAGGTGCTCGTGAATCGATAAAGTTGACGAAGGCCATTTCTGCCTGGTCCTGATTGGCGAAGATTCTACCGGTGAAACAAGAAAAACACTAAAATCTTCAATCAAGAATAAGCAATACCATCTTATAGCATCATCATGGAAAGGACATGAGTGTCTGGATTGACATAACTGAGAAAGAATCATTTTATTGTTTGAAAATCATTAGAAAAACAATTTGATGCAGTTGATTGGATGAAGAGGTCAAGTTTGGGTATAGAAGGATCAAAGATTTTCTGGAAAACTCCTTTAGAATAATGAGGAATTGAATGCTATGCAGATAGAGTATTCAATCTCATCAACTCCGTCCTCTTTTCTCTTTATTGTGATTTATAGTGATAAATTAGCAATAGTACTGTTCTACAAACCCACAAAATAGTAGCCACATTTTATTGCAGTTTCTACCATCAGTGGGAATGCTTCTTTGGACTCTCTCCATTCCTTGGTTTCTTTTTACTCGAAAGAATACATCCAAAATTATTTGGGTCAGCACCATACCCACATAAGAATCATTTAGGAAACGAATACGATTCTCATTTCGGGTAACTGAAAACACCCATCTTACTCTCATCTTCCTCATCAGCAGACAGTCTTTTGTTATTACAAAAGCTCATATCTTCAGAAGTTGTACGTACTCAGTGTAATCATTATGAATATCCATGATTTCTTATACATTTTCTGCAGCAGAATAGAGAGGACTGCCCATACAAGTGTTCTTCAATTTTCATTAGTATAGTTTTTTTTTGTACTTTGGGAGCTATCTGACTTGTCCATTTAGTCCAAGCCTCCATAAAACACTGCAGCCTCTTGGGCTTATTTCGTTTATTCCCCCATCTTCTCATGACACCCATTCCATCAGTCTCGTTCCCTGTACTAGTTTGTAGAGGTTCCGTGTTGGATGTTGGTCATATTCTTCTCGGCGTAATTTTGTACGTCCATATATTGCCTGCCTCCTGTGATTCAGTGCCTCACATTCGCATAAGATGTGTAGAGCTGTTTATGTCCCTTCGTTGCATAATTTGCAGCTGAGATCTCCGTTGTACAGCCCCATTTTATTCAGGTGTCCTCTAAGCGGACAATGGCCGGTTAGTAACCCTGTAATTATTTTGAGCCGATCCCTACTATATTGAAGTAGTTCTTCGGTTCTTTTCTCGGACGATTCCCTAATGAAGGTTCTACTGCATTTGTTGCCAGGTACTTCTGTCCAGTACTATGAGTGCTTCTTATTGGTCCATGTCCTAATCTGGTTTCGTACCAATGATTTTGGTACCCCCAGAGCTGGTTCAGGACCTATATACGAAGTTGATGATCCGCGTCTAGCGCTGAATGTCCTAGCACCCAGTACAAAGTTAATTTGTTTCTGTTTGCAAGTTAATGGCATTCCCAGACCAGTTTTGATGTCACCTTCGGGTCTGTCAGAGTCCCTAGTGTGCTCTTGCTGTCTGTAAAAATATTGTCAAGTGCACCCCAACAATATCAGTGAAATGAGATGGAGACTGAATAATATACAATGGTTCCCAACTCTTTCCTATCTCACAGTTAAGAAAGGATTCTCCTACTTTTTGGAATCTATTAAATGATGTTTTAAAATCTCCTGTCCAAAGAAAATTGTCAAAGCGAAAAAGTTAAATAATCGTTGGATAACCAATGATGTTGTCGAAGAGGCAAAATATTTGAGAGAAATGTTTCATGTCTTAACTAGTTTTCAAGTAATTGACTTGCTAAGCATGTCTAATTATAAAAATAGACTTAAAGAGCATAAAAAAAACATTAGGCATAGTAAATTAGACTACTTTTCCGCAAAAATTAGTAATGCTACCAATAAAACTAGGGAAACGTGGAATATAATAAACAATCAGCTTGGCAAACGTGGGTTTTCCTGTGCTGAAAGTAACATCAACCTGAAACTNTGGACTGATAGTTCGAGCATGTGTACTTAGCTCCCTAACTATATTATTGAAGGAGAGCTGTTGGAAGATAGGTTGCACTATATCGTTTACTTGAACTATACAAGAAGTTGTTTAGTATACTAACAAACTCTCATTGAGATTTTAAACTTTATATCTTACTTACTTGCTATATTTTAAATGTATATGTTTAGTATAAATAGTACCTGTTGACATACCATATGTACATATTGTACCTCAGTGGCTAAATAAATTATTATTATTATTATTATTATTGATCCGCTCATTTCTTTGAGGTCTCAATTAAATAAGCCTTGCACACTGCAAGATAGCATACACTTCCGCCTGAAAGACGGATGTGTATAGTCCTAGTAGTAGTATAGTTAGTTTTTATTACTTGCTGATGAGCATGTCAGGCATGGATCATCATTACCATTAATGTGAAAAAACACATTGTTACCCGAAGACGATTGTGGATACTAACAATCGAAACGTCGAGAAGTAATTTGGTTTGGAATTTCTCACATTTTAATTTATATATCTTGTTTTTTATTTTTCAACTCGTGTTAATAGTTTTTTTTTTAATTTTTTTGGTTGTTGCTTGTATGTTATTTCATTGTAATTTCAATTTTTTGCCTAGTAAAATTGTTATTTTTCAGTTTATCTTTTTTTAATTTTTTACAGATTCTTTCAGGGATTTCAAATCAATGACAATGGAAGTCCAACTGTATGTTATCAGAAAATAATGAATACTTTAATATCAGGAACCCTTTGAAAGTTATGTTGATCAATATATTTTTATTCCATACTTCCATTAAAATGTTTTGAATGTTCGCTAACTTGTGATTTACGATAAGATAGGGACTAATAAAAGAATTGTATTATTTGTATCTCGTATAACTATGATTTATGAGGTTAATAAATGCTTGCTAATAAATAGGCTGCTTTTCTCTTATATTCTCTGTAATTTATTATACGTTGAAAAATTGTATTTACCTAGTAATAATACTTAACAATCCCTTTTTAAACCTATGAAGACATTTTTGAATTTCAGACAAGTTTTCAAACTCCTGAAACACTGAATAAAATGAGGAAATTCTTTCATTGATGAGCAAACATTCGAAAAAACCTATGAAGTGCTTGCAAAAACAAAAAATTCTCCTCTTCAATAGGCAAACTCAAGGCAGTTCTTTGTTAATTTTTGATCCCTAAATGCGAAAATTGTAGTCAAAATTTCCTAACACGTAAGATTTTTGAGTTATGATATTTTTCACAAAAATTCAATGAACACCACATTCCAAATTTGCTTTTCCACTAAATTGAGGAAATTTTTCAAAATCTGGCAAGCCGTTCTGCTCCATAATGGTAACAAAAGACCCTGTATTCCTCTTGCACATGCGGTTGCCATGAAGGAAACACACGAAAGTATGTCACTTATTCTAAATACAATAAGTTATAATACGTATAAGTGGCAAATAGGTGGTGACCTAAAAGTCATAGGATTATCATTAGGTTTTTAGGGCGGATTTACGAAGTTTTGCTGATTTATTTGCCTTTGGAACAGTAGGGCAAAACAGAGCCATTATCAAGTAAAAGAATGGCTTCCGAGAGATAAATATATTCCTGGTCAAGCTAATTTGAAGAATATACCTCTTGTTAATCCCAAAAACGTTTTGGTACCTCCAATACACATTAAACTGGGGTTAATGAAAAATTTTGGAAAAGCATTAGACAAAGAAAGGTATATTTGTTGGACCATAAATTAGAAAACTATTAAGTGATCAACACTTTGATCAAAAATTGACTAATATTGAATCAGCTGCGTTGAGTTCTTTCAAAAGAATAGTTTCTGATTTTTTAGGGAACAAGAAAGTAGAAAATTACGAAACACATGTAGAAGAACTACTTGAAAACTAGTGCAGAATGGGATGTCGCATGTCTCTCAAAATCCATCTCTTGCACCACCATTTGAATTTTTTTTGGGTGCTGTCAGTGACGAACAAGGAGAAAGGTTCCACCAAGACATACTGAAAATGGAACTTAGTTACCAAGACAGATGGGATGCAGCAATGATGGGGGATTCTTGTTGGTTCCTTATGAGGGAAAATGATGACACATATAAACGAAAGTCAACATTTGCAAAAAGGTTATGCACAAAAGTCTTCATTTGAATGGTTTTTCATGTGTATTGTTAACAAAGTCTGTTATCTTCAAAATAATTTTTCTCTTGTTTTGATATTATATTTTCCTATAATTTTGAAAATTTTTGTACAAAATAAAAATAACCATAACTCAAAATCTTCACGTGATGGAAAATTTTTGATGTTTTAGTCGCTATCAGGATGCTTTAAACTCTCATGTATAGCCATTATAATATTAGTCGCAATTTTTTTTCCTTATTTGTTGGCTAGTGTATTTTTCTTCGTGAGAAGTTTTCAATTTCTCTGGATGAAAAAGGTCCAAAAAGATGGAAAGCATTATTCCATCAAAAAATAATTCCCACGCACATTCTAAACGATATTACAAAATACTATATTCACAACCCTCGTATTATTAATTCGGAACTTTGTGGGTTAACATCAATCAGATCAGCATACAAAACGTTACCTTGAGCTTGTGAACTTCCCTTTGTAATCTCAAGACCTGCGTCTCCTTGCTGCTCAATTGTTTCTTGGTGTCAAACAGTTCTCTCTGAATGGTTTCATATCTCCCCTCGTTTTCCGCTATTTCGTTTTTCAACTTGACGACTACCTAAGGAACAATAATATCATTGAATAATGATAGAACTGAGGCGAAATTAACTCGAATGCGTTTATAGTGTGATTTGTGGAAAGTTATTATACACAAAACATACACGTGTCAAAAAATACTCCATTGTGAACAATTTTACAAAAACACAACACGTGTTTCGCCATTCAATGGCTCCTTCAGGCGTGTCTATACTGTGAAACACACAAGTTCTCTAAAATAATCTAGTAGTAGCATAGTACTTTTAGTAATAACTTATTTCAATGTTCTTCAAATTCTTGATACTGAGGATCCCTATATTACCTGAGATAGTTGATTATACAGGTTGTATCTGAATAAGTGTAAAACATTTGAGGAGGAGATTCCTCATCGAAAAAAGATAGGATCTTTCATATAAAGAAACTTCTTTGGAGCTTCCCTTGTTAAGATACAGCCTCTTAAAGGGGGTACATAAAATTTGTATAACAATTTTTTTCACAAGCACTGAAAAAGTTACAATATTGAAATTAACCTGACGTTTTGTACTACCAAAAAGGCACCTAGCCAGTCATTTATGTGGTTTACCCCATGGTTGTGAGAAGTGGAAAACGCACCCCTAAAATTTATTTCCAATGTAACTTTTTGTCTTTTTATTTGTTTACCATTTAAAAATGTATTTCCGATAGCCTGTTTCATTCTAAACAAAAAATGTCTCATGTCTCATGAGTTTTTGCCCAAAATAAACCAGTTCGGAGCAAAAAATAATTTCACGAACAACTACAGAGATACATCATCATAAATGCGAACTGGATTTATTGTTATTTTGTAGTTAGTACCTGCATTAAACGATGTAGAACATGTAGAAATTATAGTAAATGTTCAATATGTCTACCTTCAGACATTACGCATGCGTCTAGACGTAGGCGCATTGAGCCACGTATTCGCTCAAATATTCCTGGAGTCTCTGTGATTACGCTGCACGCACCGATGATGCGCTTTCTTAAGTCATCTACATCGCGAACAGGAGTACGATAAACCAAATGCTTTAAAAGGCCCCAAATAGAGAAATCGAGAGGATTGAGACCCGGAAATCGAGCGGGCCAGTTCTGTGGTCCTCCTCGACCTGTCCACTGATTTGCATATGTTTCAGTTAAATGCTGACGTGCTACTTGACTAAAATGGGCGGGAGCCCCATCATGCATAAAAAACATATCCCTTCTGACGCCCAAAGGAACTCCCTCCAGCAGTACTGGATGCACTTCTCTTAAAAATTGAACGTATGCCTCACCATTTCAATCGAGGAGGCAGAAAATGAGTCCCAATTAAATCATCCTCAATAACTTCGAGCCACATGTTAAGAGAAAACTGTTCTTGATGCTTAGTGTCGACAATAGCGTGAGGGTTTTCATCAGCCCATATGTGGTAATTATGAAAATTAATAATCTTGTCCCGAGAAAAACTACATTCGTCTGTGAATTTTATCGTCTTCAGAAAGTCACAATTTCAACTAATAATTTCCAGCATCCAATTGCAAAATTCAAGACGGTTCGGAAAGTCTCGCGGTGACAGTGCCTTTACTCGTTGCAGATGGTAAGGGTATCAGAGTTGTTCCTTTAAAATTCGAAATACCGTCATATGATCACTATTTAGCTGGAAAGCAATCTTTCTAGTACTGGTAGTAGGTTGTTCTTTAATCAAATTAAATACTGCTTCCTCAAGCTGTGGTGTTCGTACTTCTCGATGGCGACCACAATCCTGCGTTCTTTTGTCGAATGAACCATATTCTCCTAATCGTTGATGAAGTCGAACAAATATTCTATGTGAAGGATGCTATCGTTGGGGATACATTTCAGCATATCTTCTAGAAGCTTCTAACTCATTCCCCTGCGACAGACCGTAAACGTAATGCATATCAGCCATTTCCTCATTTCTGTATGCAATTTTAATAACAAGTGAATTATTAAAGTAACAAATTAAGAACAGAACAACAACACACAATTAGTATTAATTCAATTCCGAAAATTCACAAACTGACAGCGTCATACCAATTTAATTGTCACTATCGCTAATAGCGACCTACTAGTTTCGTATTTTCGCATTTATGACGATGTATCTCTGTAGATGTTCCTAAAATAATTTTTTGCTGCGAACTGGTTTATTTTGGGCAAAAACTCAAGAGAAATGTTTTGTTTAGAATGAAACAGGCTATCGGAAATACATTTTTAAATAGTAAACAAATAATAAGACAAAAAGTTACATTGGAAATAAATTTTAGGGGTTGCGTTTTACACCCCTTACAACAAATAAATTTCTGTCTAAGTGTCTTTTTGGTAGTAGAAAACGTCAGGTTAATTTCAGTATTGTAACTTCTTTGGTGTTTGTGAAAAAAATTGTTATACAAATTTTATGTACCCCCTTTAAGGGGCTGTATCTTACCAAGGGATACTCCGATGAAATTTATTTATATGAAAGATCCTATCTTTTTTTCGAAGAAGAATCACCTCCTTGAATGTTTTACACTCATTTAGTTACACCCTGTATGAAGTCAATAGATGAGTACAGCAGCAGGAGCGTTCTTATAAAATATTATAGTACCCTACTTTTAGTTGATCTCCATTGATTTAGGAAGAGAGGAATCAATACATTTTCCGATCGAAACATCGATGAAAGTGAATTCAACACGAAACTGGTCTATACAAAGAAGGATTTTCGATAAAAGGCGCACCAAGTACTGAAAGGATGAATATTGGGCAGAGTAAGCCATGAGACTAGAAGAGACTGTGCCAAATTGGACACTTTTGAAGGGAAACTCCTGTTTTCAAACTAGATAGACGGAAACTAATGGCTTTTATGACAAACCGCAAATTGTTTTTGTATTACAGCTTGAATGAAATAGGAATGAGGAGTTGAAAAAAGTAGTCGTTTTAGGAGCTGTTGAAAATAAGCTATCCCAATACTTCAACACAAAATTTGAGAATATTATCAGGCCCACCAAGAACTAACGTTAAGAGGATTTTGAAAAAACATAATTCAGAAAAGTTCATCAACTCAGACCAGGAGATTTTGAACGCCGCGTGGCTTGTTGCCAGTAGTTCCTGGAAAGTTGTTAAATTATATTTGGACAGACGGAGCTGATGTGAGCAAAGCGGGTATTTTCAACCGCTTCAATTATTATACTTGGCCACAACAAACTCCTCATTCTATTGTGGAGCAGAGACGACAAGGAAGATTTGGATTTAGTATGTGGGCAGATGTTTTCAGGGATAGAATTATTGGCCCGTTCATTTATAAAAGCACTCTGACATCTCAGAGGTATTTAGAGATTTTAAGGCAAAATATTGAACCCCTTGTTGATGAATTGCCACTGATGGAGTTCAGAAAAATACATTTACAACAAGACGAGGCTTTGCCTCATAACACTGCAGTTGTCACTAATTTTTGGCTGCAAATTTTGGTAATAACTGGATAGCCAACCAACCGTTAGCCCGCCAGGTCAACGGACCTAACAACTGTGGACTTGTATCTCTGGGGAAGGTTGAAAGATCTCATTTTTAAATTGCCGACTAATTCTAAATACGAATTGGAAGCAGCAGCCCATGATCTGATTCACTGCGATCTTTTCAGATCTATTCTGATGCTCCTTGTTGTTAGAGCTCATTGTCTAGCTTGATCTCTTTGATGAGACTCCATAGCCTTGACACAGACACCTTCATCTAGCTGGCAGCCTCTGGTTTCTCTTCCCCGCAACTTGCGTGTCTCAGCCTTGCTATCGCTTCGCATTCACAGAGTACTTGCAGTGCGGTTTCTTCCTCTTCTTGACATAACCTGCATTGGGCTGATTCTGTCATACCCATGTTGCTCATATGTTTTCTGACTCGGCTATGCTCCGTTAGTAGACCCACCAATACCCTTACAGCCTCACGGTTGTGGTTTAGAAGGTCTTCCGTGAATCTGGGCGATGGTTTCTTTATGAACTCTTTCGCCTGCCTCATTCCTGGGAGCTTATTCCACCAATATATCGATTCGGCTAGCATCCATGAATTTATACATGCTTTCGCTACCCCGCAGAAGGGTTCCGGGAAAATCATAGCCTTGGATGCGCCTTTACGGGCCAGAACATCGGCCTCCTCATTGCCCTTGTGACCCTCATGTCCGGGTACCCAAGCTAGAGTGACCCAATTTTGGGTACTGAGCTCCTTGAGAGCGCTCAGACAGATTTCCACCAGTCTGGAAAAGACTTGAAATGAGCTGAGCGCGTTGAATGTTGCCTGGCTGTCGAAGAAAATGGCAATGGCTTTATTTGTGACCTTCTGCCTGTTCATTTCCCTTATACAGTGTTAGATGGCCGCTACTTCTGCCTGGAATACAAAAGGGGCAGTGATGCAAAGTTTTGATTTTCTCTCTTCTACTGTACTAATTAATTCGGCAAAAATCGTTCAGAAAAGGTGTCGTCTGTTTGTAGGATAAGCTGGTAGACAATTCGAACACTTTCTCTGAAGAAATATATTCAATTGTTTGTTCTTTATCATTATTATTAGTAGATCACTAAAGCCGGTTCTGTGACACCAGCCAATGAGAGCTTAGCAATTTGTCACATGACCAGTTTGTTCGGTTGGTTACGCTATCGGCGTGACCACCACATATTTGGACCAACTGCGCTTAGCGAAACTGATACATAGTACGCCGAACCAAGCCATAATGCGCAAAGCGCAGTTGGTCAAGTATGTGGCGGTTACGCTGATTGTGTAACCAACCGAATAAACTGGTCATGTGACAAATTGCTACGCGCTCATTGGCTGGTGTCACAGAACCGGCTTTGGTGATCTACTATTATTATTGTTTAAGTTTCATCTATTAGTAGTAACTATAGTATAAATTGTTATCAGTTTTATTGAAATTCTGCATTTTAATTACTGCTGTGGAAAGATTTCTCAGCATTCGGTAGCTACTACTGAACAATTTCTTTCTGTTTTATCGCCGCGTCCTCCAAAGCCTACTTGATCAAAGTGTGTGTTTCAAAGTCTAGATGAAGAACCCAAAAGCTCTGTATTTATAGGATGACTCTAGCAAAACATCAAATGAGCCTAATTTTTGGAAAGGTAATTTTAAGCTCTGGTGAAATATGCAGGAATATACAGGGTGTCTCATTAAAACATAGTTTTCCATCAATAACTAGTGATGTCTCATTTGAAAAAATAAGTTTTCACACCATTAAATTCTACGTAAAAAAGTGTTCTGAAAATGTTTCCATAGAAACAAGGAATTTTTGACAGGAAAAAATTTACAGCAACTTTTCGAAAATGCACATTTTCGAAAAATATGCTGTAACTCAGAAACGATTATAGAAACCAATGTGCGGCTTTCACTATTAAGTTTGTTATTCAATTTAATCCTCAAGCACCCCATGGGTTGGGCTATCTATCGGGCGCATCCCCAGGTGGCGGGTAGGGGAACGGCCAGGGGATTGGGGGCCAATGTGGCCTTACGGACGGGATCGCCGGACTCCTGGTCAGTGGCAGAAATAAGTAGGGTGAGGGGAACTGAAACTCCCCAAAAGCCACTGCGAAACATGGCCACCGTAGACAAGCCTACTCAAGCAATGAATCGTGTCGACAGCTGAATGGCTGCAGGGCGGATACGAACGATCCCCTTGGGGAACCAGGCGAAACCTCTGGTAATGAATACAATAAATTGAAAAAAAAACAACCAATTCCGAGGCTGGACAGAAATGCTCACCTCAATCTATGGCGGTGGCTGGGGATGAACAGAAATGTCCACCCCAATCTACCGCTCAGAATGAGGCTGAACATAGCAGATCACCTCGTGACGCAACAAAAACGCCCAGGCGTAAGCGCATTTGCGGCGCCGAGGCCAAAAAACATAACAATATGCACTGACAGCAGACAAGCACTATTAGCCTTGAACAGACAACGTGTAACCTCAGGGCTAGTACTAGAGTGTCACCAAGATTTAGCCAAAGCCTCGGTGGATAATAACAGTATCCTCAGGTGGGTTAAAGGGCACGACATGAGTGAAGGTAATCGCATTGCCGACTCTTTAGCCAATGAAGTAGCTGGACTAAGAATTTTAGGTCCCAGTGGCACCTACGGTCTGATGACTTCGACAATTGCAGAACTAGCCAAATGCTCAATCCCTAAAAGGATGGAATCAGAGGATGTAATCTTGCCAGGACCAACTTGGGCGACCCTGGGAAGCTGGCGCCGAAGAAATATCTGGCGAAATATCTACGCTTAACAGTAGTGGGACTAGTGGGCCATAATATGGGGCTAGTGGACACACTTCTATGCAGGATGTGTGAACAGGAAGATGATACTCTCTACACCTGCCAATATAAAAGAACCTGCCGATATAAAGGAGATGTCTCCCAGTGACCTGTTCACCTTCCTGGAAAGAACAGGATGTACGATGAACTGGGAGGACAACTCTTCGGGAGGATGTACAATGAGTTACATGTGGCTTGAGTGCTGTGGGGTTACACTTACCCTCCCTATCCTACAGATAGAGACTCCTCAGGCACAGCCATCAGTTTTCATCTGTCTGGTTTGAAAACAGGAGTTTCCCTCCAAAAGTGGTCAATTTGCCTCACTCTGTACAAGAGAAGTCAATTCGATCTAAAAAAAAGCAACCAGAGAGGATCTAAAGAATTGGACCTGAGCACACCACTATCATTTCGTTTCATTCTTGAAACTGGGTTCAATCAGGAAAACTAGTGGAAAACAATGGCAAACTAACTCTGTTAGTATAGAACATTCATCCATTCACTGAAACTCAACCTTACCTGCTTCAGATATTCATAGTCCTCAGGCTCTATGGAACTCTTCCTCCTCGCCTCACCTAAATTTTTGGAGTTCCTCTGAATCCTCTGGATGGTCGGCCCGTCGATGGAACTTCTAGATGTTTTCCGCGGGGCCGTCAGCCCGTTACCCATCGAGTTAATGATGCCGAAGTCTTGAAGGAACTTTTGCGCCTCCTCTTCGTTTACCTGGTGGTGGTGGGACTCGTAGGAGAGGGCGGTGTACTTGTGGTACTCCAGCTTACTCTTCAGTTCCGGGTACAGGGTTAGAGATAATTTGTTCGGTGATGGACCGTACTTTTCGCAATCTGCGGGAAGTTCTACCTGCGGTAAATGGGAAATTATTGATTGGAGCACGATGAGGACAATTGCAATATCCTTTCAGACTTCGAATATATTGATGGCACACCCTTTTTTTGATGAAATGTATTATCATATAAAAAATGTTCGGTGGCAGAGCAGTTCAAACATATCAAATTCAGAACACACAAAAATCTTAATAGATATATCTCTCTTAAGAATTGGTCAGTTTTATCATATTTTTCAGGTTTATTCCTTTTCAAGTCGTAGCTGCTCATGATGTTGAGATCTCTTGAGAATAAATAGAGTACTACTCTTTTCGATTATCAAAACTAACATGGGAAGTACTACGGGGGAGGACCCGTAACATATCCCTGAAGGAACCACTTGTTACTAGATCTTCAGTAAAATCTATTTGATAGAAAGTATTCAATCAGAAGCAACTGGATGTCAGTAACGATAAAATATCGTGATCTCGGATAGCCTGAAAGACATATGTGAATCAAGAGAGTGAACACAATAGAGTTCCTATCCAATGTTTGGTTTACGACGATTCACCGGGTACACAACTCCTTGAAGCTTGGTGAATTTCCCAATCTCAGTTGGCCAACTCTTGCCTTTCCCTTGCCTTTGCCTTGCACTCGTTATTCTCGAACAAGGTAGTCTGCAAACTTTGTGAGATCATGTCGTTTATTTAACCTTGCACCAACAAGCCAAAGATGCATATGTTATAATGATCACCATTGTTTGATCACCATTGTATGAAGTCAATACATCATGTCTAGTTTCAGCCCTTATTTTTTTTCCGTGAGATGGTCTCTTTTTTCATTCGAGCTGAATGTTCTTCTGTGACGTCCTCAAACACCTTACCTGAAATTTTTTTCATATTTAGTTATAGAAATGTTGTTAGCTTCTCTTGTGGCCTAGCTGGACTCCGCAGATACACCTTGCTTCTTGGAGGAACTGCTATTATGTGACTGTTGACTTTGTGGGGCTCTATTCGCCATAGCATGTTGTTTCTGGATACTAGATAATATGATATACTAGAGAATATGTCGTTTATGTAACCTTTCATCAACAAGCCAAAAATGCATATATTATAATGGATTTGATCACCACTGTGTGAAGTCAATACATCATGTCTGGTTTTAGCCCTTATATTTTCATGGTATAGTTCCTTTTCTTAACTCAAGCTGAATGTTGGTTCTTCTGTGACTTCCTAATATTGAACCTCTTTCGAAATAATTGTATCTCTTCAGCATGTCTTCGAACCGGATATGCTAATGTCAGGTCAGACAATTCCCCTTTCTGCTTTGGTAAGTTTGTTGGGGGTTAAAATGGACCCAATTTGTCTTGGCACAATCATGTCGTTGGAATTGCAAAGGCTGCTTCTCAAAAGCCAGAAAACTGTACAGACCTCAGCAACTTTTGATGCTCTATAAAACTCGGATCAGACCTTCATGTATAGAGCTCTGCCCCCAGAGATACCCTGAAGTTGCTGGGTTCCATCCAGAAAAAAGCCAACCGCCTGATTGGAGACACTAACATCAAGTGCAATCTTGGTAGCCTGGAACATCGAAGAAACATTGGAGATTTGTCTCTGTTCTATAGATACTTTCATGGGAGGTGTTCAAGTGACTTGGCATATTTGATTCCACCAAGAACGGTACATATCAGAAATACGCGACGGACTGTGGCTGCTCTTCCTTTTGAGGTTCAACCCAGTAGACCTTGAACTTCATTGTTTAAGAACTCTTCCATCTGGAAAACTGCGTTTATGTGTGATGAACTTCCTGAGAATGTTTTCCCAAATGTATTCAATCTCCAGCGATTCAAATCCAATGCGAATCTCTATTTTCGCACAGGCATCGCTCTGAGAGCACCTTAAGGCTTTCCCTGTAGTGCTTGTGTTTTGTCCTTGAAAACAAAAGACGTTTCAGAGGTCCTCCTATCTTGGTACTCTTGAAAAATGCTACTCAGGCCCCTATATTGAGCCCTTCTTTCTCAGCACATATTGTAATAGTATTCAAGGCTCCCTGCATGCGTCGTTTCACAATTATTTGCTCCAGACTAGCCCAGTATTTATTTCTATTATGGTCCAATAAATAATGAATCTTGTTCTTCACGAGGTTTCATAACAGTGTAGTAAGTTGAAGCTCTGTTATTGTGCCTAGATATTTATATACAGAGAAAGAGAGAGAGAAAGACCTTGTTGCTATGGCTTTTAATCATTTTTGGTCCTCTATAGTCTTCTGAAGTATTTATTCTACCCTCTACAGGTAGTTCAGTTTTTTTAATTGGAAGGGTAATATTTTTAGGAGTGACTAATTTTAGAGAAAGAAAGTTTTTGCCTTTCTACCACCCCAAATTGATACATAAAACATGAGAATCTTCCAAAGAAAGGAAGGAAGCAAACAATTCTAAAAGAAGTAACTCTTCATATAGATCTTTAAACTCTGTCTTGTTGCAGAATGTTAATGTTGGATGATCCATGGTTTCAACGATCTTTCTCTTCATAGTGGATGATGCCTGGATGAAAAATCAAGAAAGTCATTGGATTTCTGATATGAACAGACATTTCTCACTAAAAACATTATTTATTTCATCTTAATAAAATAAAAACAACAATAAAAATTAATTGGCGCTCCGGGGCGACTTCATTGATTCCAGTAGCGCATTTGCTTTTTCAGCTGCAGGAAAACCCGGAAAAACCTGCAGCACCACATCATCTGGAGATCTTGATCTAACAATGTCCTCTCTCTTATAAAACAAAATGTAGGGTGTCTCCAGAGGCTCCAATAAATTCAGTGCTCGCCAGAACACTTCGTGACACGACTATTGCCAAACTTAAACCAGTCCGTTTCTTCTTTGACCAAGGCGTATTAATGACCAAATTCAACGCCAGAACCACAGTGAACAATGACTGCATGAATATTATAACAGTGGTCTGCTAGAGTGGAATGTTCATCTATTTCGAACCTTCTAAAGAGTTTCTTGCTTCCGTTAGAGGTTGAGTCTTATTTGAAAATCATCAGTGTTATTATTAGATTGACTGGTGCCTCAGATATACTTGTTTCCTTATAACAGTCAGTTAGTTTGCCGCATGTTTGACAATACAGTCGATCATCACCTGTTAAAAATTCCATTTTCAGATGATTTAACAATAAGCTTTGCACGGACTGGTTATTAGTCATATTAGGAAAAGCTAGATGAAGTTCCAGAAATTCACATAAGTTTTCGGTACTTCTTGAACATTTACCACAAAGTAAACAAAGTAAAAAGATTTACGAACACAAGATGAGATGGGCTGTACGGAATCATTCAGTCCAGAGCGGTCAGTAGTATTGATTTTGCTATTGTTTTACTCATGAAGAGTATTCAACAAGAACCCCAAGAATTCGGAACAATCCTCTTGTTGTCCTAACGAGTATCTAGTGGACTTCAAAGACTCCAGGAAATCGGTTGGAGGGAAAGATGATACCTTTTTACGAAACTGCAGCTGCATGAACAGGTGTTTGAGTTTGATGAATAAGTAGGAAACATTCCCGTTCTCGTTCATCATTAAAACTTCGTTCTTGAAATTCTTCGTCATGAACAACACTTGTAAAATGCCATTCATGTAGCCTGTGTTTCCTAAATCATCCAATCCAATTTTCTTCTCTAGATTTTCAGGACAACTATCTACTGATAGTTGTCCTGATTATTGATCTACTATAATAATAATCTAAAATAATAATCTACTGATTATTATTGATCCCTCCCACTTTCACGTTAGAGAATGTGAACTCATTTTAGAACTCCTTCTTCATTGAATATTACTGAAGATTTTTCCCAACACTAAACCGTTATTTTAGCACCTCGACACGTGTTTCGATCACCAAGTAATCACCTTCAAGAGGTGATTAGTTCCAAAGACAGAAAATTAATTTACCTGCCGAAGGCATGGTCCCAGACACTGCCGAAAAATTGCTGGATTCATGTCTACAAAAACTGCACAACATTGAATGAATGTACGAGATAAGACAGTAAAAGTTTACTCTTCTGTGATATTCACTTCTCTGGAAATTTATCTTGAGCTCAAGTTTATTGTGTTTGTTATGCGACTTTAGTGAATGTTATCACCGCGTTTTAGTTTTGCTATCTGATTCAAGCAAAAGAGTAAAGATAGATCAAAGAATTTTGTTGAGTTTTCATGGGAACCTTTCAACAGCAAAGTTCTTCTCCTATCTTATGACTGGGATTGTCTACTTCACACTGTAATATCTCAATGAATACCCATTCAATTTAATCGACATAAGCGCGGTTCGAATCAGTGCCAACGTAACACATATCGATTTTTACAGCTTGAAAATCACTTGCTCGGGATTCGATGGAGTCGAGGTAAGCCGTTTTTGCCTGATTCTGTTTGACGAAGGTTCTAACAGTAAGAAAGTTCTAGAAGTGCTTGAAAAGATGGTAGTCGGTTGGCGAGATGTCTGGGAAGCATAGTGGTTGGGGTAGACCTTTCCAATACGTTTTGAACGCCCAGTCTTATTTTTCAGGGCTATATTGTATAAAAGTTTTCAGTAATTGAGAGATACGAAGCCTTGCATGAAAATGATAAAGATTATACAACTAACAATGATATCGAATGACATAAACATTCCCGAGAAATATTTTTGCTTTGTTTATTCACGGATCCTGATTATAAAGATAATTTTTTCTACACAGATTGATACCTGTGGATTTTTCCTCTGCAACATATTCTGCCTTTTGATGATTTTTAGAAACATTTTCATTTTTTTGACATTTCCAACAATACCGAGGATGATTTTTTCAGGCTCTAAATAGCTTGATGAAACTTCTGATCTTGATGAAGTACCTTTCATAGTACTCGAAAAATTTGCTGCTGGTTAATGCTGGTGTTCTCCAAGAATCCGTATTGGATCCATTTTTTTTCTAGTATATATCAACGATCTGTTGGGAAAAAACGGAGAAATACAATATTTTGCTTTACTGATATCAGCACAACTGTCTCGTTTTAAAATTTCAATGCTCGTAAAATTGAAGCTAAAGCACATATTTGATGAACATAGTATCAAAAATAATAGTCACGAAATTATCACGTTTTCACAACTAACTTATAAAACATATTTTCCTATGAGAGTAAATTGTTTTGTAGCAGTTTTAAAGCACTTTTCTGCGACGTTTTTATGCTCTTTATAAAATTATTTTAAGCGTATTTTTTAACTGCTTTCTGTAGCTTTGATGAAATTATTTTATTGTTTTTATTACCATATTGTCACTTCAATAAAGATTTCTCAACTATTTTATAGTATGATATATTTACTACAATTCCAAAATAATAAGATAACACAAATTATATAAAAGAACAATTTGTTCATTCCAGTCTCGAATTACCTACACTGTAGATTAATGGACTGACACCTATCAGAAAACAACTACTCCCCTGGCTAATATCACGAAGGGCGTTAGATTATATCCGACAGGTGTCAGTACAGGATTCTTCACTGAGGTTATTCCTGCATATGCTGTTGGCGATACAACTGCCGCAATAGATTTTCAATTATTGGAACACACTTGCAGACCGGTTTCGGGCTGTTTGACCACTCGTCAGTGCAAGGTAGTGTCTATCAACATGAAGTCGATGATTTCCGATAATTGAAAATCGAATTCTTTCAGAGTATCATTCTTCGAACTTGGCTGACGCGAACGACAAAAACATGTTTTTCATCGCCCCATCTGCCTGTGAACGAGATAACCAACCTTATACGAGAAATTGGACAAGATTCCAAACCAAGTTACTTCACGACGTTTCGATTGTTAGTATCCACAATCGTCTTCGGGTGATAACTGGACTTATTCCTCCGAGATCTAGCTATAGGTCATTCGAGTGGTTTCACCTATTCCCCCTTTCCTCTCTCCGCTTCATCGGTTTTAGTGGATGCTGACCGTTTGGCGGAGTTGGTCGTGTTCCGCTTGGTTAGAGGTATCCATAAGTTGCGTATCTCTACGCTAGTTTGGGGCTAAACCAGTGCTCTTCCTTGTGGATGATTTCTCACTTGATGTTATGTTGATGGGTCCAAACGTGCTCTGCTATTCCTGATTTGCTGGCTTCTCCTTGCTGTGTGTGTTTCTCATGCTCGGCAATGCGAACTTTCAATGGCCTCTTAGTTTCACAGATGTATGATTCTCTGCACTCGCAGGGTATACGGTAAATGCAATTCTTGGTGGCCTTTGGTGGCCTAGTTTTCGTGAGGCTGCTACGGATAGTGTTCCCAGATCTGAAGCAGGTTCTGATGTTATACTTGGACCCAATCCTTCTTATGCTTTCCTACAATCCTCTGATGTAGGAAAGGACAAGTACCGATTGTGACGGCTCCTTTTCCTTGTGGAGATCTTGCTGTCTTCTAGTTAAAGCTTGTTTCACCATCACTTTGAAGTAACCATTTCGTTGAAGGTCATTTTTGATGCCTAGTTCCTTTTGGAGACCTTCCTTCGTATTATAGAACCCGAAAGCACGGTCTAGTAGAGTCTTGATGATTCCTCTTTTAGTCGATTGATGGTGGTTGGATTCCTGATTCAGATACTGTCTTGTGTTTGATTTTTTGGTCGTCGTTTGTATTTTATTTCATTGAAATTTCAGTTTTTTTGCTTAATATAATTATTATTTTTTTAGCTTATCTCTTTTAATTTTTTTACAGATTCTTTTCGGTATTTTAAATCAATTTATATCATATTAGACAATGGGAGTCCAAACTGATGAAATGCAATGTCGTGTAATATTGGTCATTTGAAAAAACTGAAAAAAGGTGGTACGTTTAGATGAAGACCCACAAAAAACCTAGTGCTTGCTAAAAACAGAAAAAGGTTAATAATGATTAAAATCCGTCGATTTAAGTGAATCACCATGTATATATACCCTCAAATAACTAGCTCAAAAATCATATCTTCATACAAGCAATTTTGAATGAATCTATATCTTTAAAAGTAGTCGGAATCTGCCGCAATACCACCACTTCTAGAACTAAGTGTTTCTTAATAGTTTCATAGGGGTAACATAGTAGGTAAAATACGTTAAAATGCTTGCTATTGGTATCAAATTATTTTATAGAACGACGCTATTTTGAAATGATAGCAATCCGAAATACTGACATTATTATTAATAAATGAGTGGCGATCTTAAATTTTGCTAACAATAGGCTATATATTTATTTCATCAGTTCGGAATTCCATTGTCCAATACAATATATAGAAAGATTTAGACGCAAGTTAAATGTTGCCATCGAATTTCCTCTAGATGGATTAGATATGAACAATTATGCAGCAGATAATGTGACTCCTTGTCGCTATAATCTATATGCACTTTCGAATCACAGTGGGTCTACCTACAGCGGACATTATACAGCATTCTGCAGACATCCTTAAAATGGCACTTGGCACGAATGCGATGATTCACAAGTGTCACCAATTTCACCAAAATCGCTTGTGAGTGGAGATGCATACATCCTCTTTTATGAAAAGGAGGAAACGAGTTCGCGCCTTTGAGCGTTTTGTAAAGTTATTTTTGAACTGTTCATTTCAATGTTATGTATTATCTAGTTGATTTTTCTATTCTTCAAAATAAATCTTTTATTTTTTTCAGGGATTTGAAATCAATTTATATTATATAAGACAATAGAAGTCCGAACTGACGAAATACACCACGAAATATTGTCAACCACCTTCAAACAGGCTATATATTTGTCAAATAAAATTTAATTCGTCGTAAAAATACCAACCTTTTCAGCACAAACAACGTCTTTAACATTTTTATAAGCACAAAAGTGAAATTTTCAAAATGGCTTCAACCTTTCTATTTCTTAGTTTCTAGTTGGTGACATATCTATTATATTTCTCTAGTGTTCAATAAAAAATCACTTCTTGCGCTTTCAAGAAAACATGTTGATCACTTTTTTATTTTATTTCTTCGTTATCGTTTTTGACTGAATTATATTTTATAACGCTTACTTGGAACTACTTAAAAACCCTTATAAAATTGTATTTCATTTATTTTATAAGTATCTTTACGAAACTCATTTCTAAAAGTAATAGAAACATTTTATAGTAACTGCCGAAATTTTTATAAAACTGTTATGTAATGTTGGTGAAAGGCTTTACAAAATATTAATAAAGACTATAATGTTTTATAAAACGGTGCCAATTTCCTACCAACAGCTGTTCTATAGACATTTCAGGGAGAAATACAGTTTTCTAATTTGTTTCTCCGAAACGTTTTCGCAACTATTATGAAATATGAAATTGCGAGTTGAGTACCAAGTCGCAAAACTATCAACTTAATAAAATGAACCAATAAGTTGAAAAATTGAATACAGAAAACCAAAATCAACATACCGGAATCGGAAAGTTGACCTCCGGATGGTTCAGATACACATTCGTCTTCACTACATCCGTCCCCTTGGGCACTTTGGGGCAGAGACACACCTGCGGACTCCTGTGATGGTTGATGTCTGGATTGGAGAACCTCTTCGTAGGCAAGTGACCAAAACCAGACCTCTCCGGAGGGGAAGGCTTTCTGGTCAACCTCGACCCATCGGAGGTAGAATGGTGGAACTGCGCTGGTTTGTCGTTCACGTCGTAACTGCAGCCACATTTTGCGTAAAGACTGCCACACGTGTGAGATTTTTTGAACACGCCGCGCGATCTGGATTTATCCGCGGGGGGCGGCGATTGGGGGGACTTGGACGTGTGCACTAGCATCGTGAGGATGGAGACTGCTGGAGGGGTACGCTTGTATGATAGCTGCCCATTGGAGGAGAGGAAGCTCTCGAGCTAACCTATCTGTAAGAGAATTTTAAATATACAGGGTGTTTTTCAAAAGAATGATAATATACAGGGTGTTCCATAATTTTGAGTAAACAGGGTGTTTTTCAATAGAATGATAATATACACGGTGGAACATAATTTTAAATATAAAAAACTAGTTGCAAAAAAAGTGTTGCAAAAAACTAGTTATTTGCACCAAATTTGTTACCGGGGCTTTATTGTTGACATTATAATTTCGAATTAATTTTCATGTAACATCTAGAGGTGAACTTTCGGCATTTTTCATGAAAAAACCTTACTCCCACACCCTTCACTGATGTTACTATTTCATCTGTAATTTTTATATTTATTTTTTTTTGCATTTATTTGATTATATTTCATTTTTTGTTTCATCCCATTGTTTTTCAGATATTTTTCTACTTTCTCTAGAACCTTATTCATTCTGCCAACAGTTTCTTTTAAATTAACTCCAGTATAGGTCAATAAGGTATCATCTGCAAATAAGTTGATGAACTCACAGTTTGTAAATAATTGTATATCATTCAGATACAGACCAAGCACACTACCTTGTGGTACTCCTGTGTGATTTCTTATATATGATAAGAAATAATAGTTTACACGTACTCTCTGTTTCCTATTTTATAAATAATTACTTTAGCCCTAGGAGCTAAGTAATATGCATCGATATAGAAAATTGTGAATATCTCGTTAACGATGTCTTTCAGTTTTGTTGAGGAAGTGTCCCTTTTTACTTGGAAAAGTATCAAAAGTTTACTGTCAAAAAAGTTAGGGCAATTTGAAATAAATGATGACATAGTAAGCAGTGCCCTCAAGATATTACAGGAAAACTAATAAAAAAATTATGATTTTCTACGTCAAAAAAAAAGGTACAAAATTTCATGGAAATTACTTATTTTTTGCAAAAGTTATTTTCAAAATTATCGTAGGAATACGTCACTTGAATATTTTAACTTACTTATGTTACACCCTGTATAGGAAGGTTACTTTCGGGTCTATTGAAAAATCTGTATGACAAATGAAAATTTTTTGTGTGTACTTAAAGAATGCATCTGTTTTTCATCATCTTTATCATGATGAACTGCATCATAATGACGTTTCTTTCGGGTCGGTAATTCCCAATTTTCAGCGTTATATAAAATGGAAGTACATACAAAATTTAATGGAAATTTTGAGTATGGTCAAGAGCGTTATATCAAAATTATCGAAAACATTTTTTTTTCAATTTTATTTTCAATTCGATATAACAAGATACTACATGAACAAACATTATTATAACAGTTATCCTTTATTATCCCAAGGGTTCTCCTTAGCACTCGAGGCGTTTGTTTTATGCATTCCCTTGGACTAATTTAGGATTTTCATTAAGTAAATAAAATTAATGGTAATTATATTAAACAAATACAGATATCAAAGAAAATATACATTCTATCTAGTTGAATTCTTGTAGGATATGATAAAATTCACTAAATGAATAATTCTTCTTGCTTTGGGATTGTTTTTTTGAAATTTCACTTTATTTTGTCTTCCTTGTTTCGCCTTCTCTAATTTATGATTCATGATATGGTTCATTTTTTTTCTCTACTCTTACATTTCACTCTTCGGAGCGGTTGATGTGGCAAGGATCCATATCTTTATTCATATTCATGTGGTTCGTTCATATAAACTCATATACATACACAAATTACACACGTACAGACATATAATATGTCAATCTGGGCCTGCACCTCTCATAGGCTATAAATGGCCATTTGGAAAAACCCCTTGACATTACAACAAGGTATTGAAAAAATAATGATAAGAGTGCCAAATATTTACCTACTAGCCCTTGGTGCACAATTTTAGGATTGTATGAGCCTGCAGCTGTCGCCTTTTTAAATCTGTATCGATGATTGTATTATTTTATTGAAATGACGATCAAACTGCAGACCCTCAAGCCGTGGAATTTTCAACCTAAGTTCCATTAAAAGCTTATGTAATGAAATTTCAATACTAAGTTATTACTGGCGACGCAACAGATTTGTTATTTCAAATCATATACAACATTGAATGATTAAAATAAATAATAAACTTTTTACTTTTGACCTGACTCAATTTTGTACGTCTATGTAAGAGCCACTTGAAAATGATTTATCACTCCACCGGTTAAGGAAATGGACTGATATGTCAAGTTATGTGATATGTTATCACCATTTTTTCCGATCAATAATCAACAGATTCGATCATGATTATACGATGAACTACTGTGTCAATAAGGAAAATTTGCAAATTGAAATATTTCTCAGTCGAGACTGGCCTGAATTCCTTTAGAGAAAAGTGTATTTCTGTCTCGTGAATATCATAAATAATTCTAAAGAAATATGTTTACTCCAGTTCGGCTCAAAACAAGCGAACAATATATTTGTACGAATTTGAAAGGTCAATTAGATGTGCCCGATATCAATTTGTAAGACGTCCCATTGTACGTTTAAGTGAATATTGAATTTTGAACAATTCTTTCGTTCCAGTCTGACTTGTAGGTTATCTGTTTGCGCATTGATAATGATCGTGTCACGAAGTTGGCGGGTGATTCCACTTCCAATACATGTTTCCAGTTATGTCGATCGATGATGGATTCTATAGAAATGAGCGACGTTTGGAAAAAAATCAGACAATCCCCAGTTTCTGAAAATTGTGTGAAAACTTTTCAAATTTTATCGAAGTTGAAGACTCTACTCCACAGTTCATTACTGAAAATTCATGATTAATGTATTGAAAAAATTTATTGTAAGTACAGTACTATTTACTGTATGTTCAAAAAATGAGGGTAATTTTAATTTTTTTTCAAATATTCAGTTGTATATCAATTTCTATTTTGTCTCCTTCAAAGTAGCCCCCCTCAGATATACTACACTTCTGTCAGCGTTTTTTTCAATCATCGTAGTAGTTCTGATATGCTCTTTTTGATATATCTTCGCTCTCTCAGCGATTCGGCTTTCATCTCCTCAATTGTCGCAAAACGCCGTTTTCTCATGGGTTTCTTCAATCTTGGGGACAGAAAAAAGTCGTAGGGGGGCAATTCTGGTGAATATGGTGGCTGCAGCATGATTACGGTGTTGTTTTTTGGCCAAAAATCACGAACAAGCAATGAAAAGCATTATTTTTCCACAATACCGGACCTTTCCTTCGCATTGCTTCCCAAAAGCAGTGCATAACTTCAAGATAATACTCCTTGAATATTGAATTCCACTAGTTCGGACTTCCATTGACTACTATATAAAATGATTTGAAATCCCTGAAACAACTAAAAAAGAAGAATTAAAAATGAATAGCTGAAAATAACAATTATATTAAGCAAAATAAACCTGAAATGAAATAATAGTGAAATAAAATACAAGTAAAAA